GCGCCAGGCAGTGCCTTGCTGGCCCGGCGGCGAATGGTGACTTACTCCATCCCCTCAGCTTGGGCACCATCCCAGGAGCAACCCCCGTATGTCCTCCGAGAGGCCTCCCATCCCCAGCCCCAGGACAGAACAGCCACACCTCTGCTGTTTGCAGGAGCGGGGACTGGCGGGGGCTCAGCCCCCGCAACTGCACCTGGGGATGCCTCACAGCTCACCCTGACCCCCAGCTGCCCTCCCCCTCCCCTTCTCCAGCAAGCAGAGGCCGTCCTGGATCCCCAGCGGATCCTCTGGGCACACATGTGTCCTCCCTCTCCCAGGGAGTTCTGGTTTCTGGGACCGAGCTGGAACCCCATGCCCCAACCCCGAGGCTCTCTGGACTTAGAAGAATGGAGATCCCTCCCCGGGGCCATTTCTGCGAGGCCGCAGAACCCCAGCGCAGGTAGGAGTGGACTGCACAGCAGACTGGCTTGTGACTCCAGACCATCCGAGCCTAACCTCACTCCCACACTGGGACGCCTCTCCCTGGGGACTTAACTCTCCACCTGGATTCAACTCTCCCTGCAGACCTACCTGCTGTTCCTGTCTGGTCCTAGGCTTTTGCTCTGCTGCCTCTACCCTGGACACCCACTCCCAGTCCTGAAGAACTGCCAGATAATGCTACTGGAGAACCCAGCAGAAAAGTTCTGCTCATTCCTTAGTTCTGGGTTCTCTGTCTTCCCCACCCCTAAGCCGCTAGGCCCTGTTCCAACCCAAGCCTCCTTCCTTCGGGCCCCAAACCACCATCCACACCGAATCCCGCCACCCTAGAGGACCCCCAAATCACCAGGGGTTGACAGGGCTGCCAAAGTAGATGAGAAAAGGAAGTTAAAAGACAAGTATTGAATCAGGAAAGGGCATTTTAATACCAAAAGGGGAGGCCACTATCCCAGACTAAAAAAGGAGTCTTTAAATAGAAGGCAGGAAGCTAGAAAGTGAGGAGCTCCCCTTCCTGTCCCTGGGGCGGACGCCTGCTTCACCCCAAGCTGCTCACAGCCCTCTTTACTTTCCGGGGTTTGTGGCCTCTGCCTCTCAGGAGTCCTCAGTGACCATGTCCACCCCACCTTGGACAGACTAATTCTGCCCGAGGGGCCCTCTGGGGGAGGAGGAGGAGAAGAGGAAGAAGGGGGAGGAGGATGCTCCCTCCCTCTGGGGAGCCAGATGGCCTGTCACTTCATTGCCTGTCCACCCGGTATGAGGAGGGAGGGAAGCACTGCCATGAAGACGGGCTGACAAGGACTGCAGAGCGGGGGACAGGCATGTACACCCCATCCTTCACCTGCCAAACTGAAGGAGGTAAGGGCCATGCCCTGGAGGACTAACAGGAAACCCCAGGCCTGGTAACTCAGACACACCTGTGCACCTGAGCAGAGGGGACACAGGTGTCCACCTTGGGGCAGAAAAGGAACCGTCTCCAAAGACACTTGGCCATTCACTCTTGGCATCGTGATGGGAACACTCCCCACCACTCCAAGAAATGCAGATGTTGCTGCCCAGGACTAGCTGATCCCATCCAGCCTCAGTGCCACCCTTGGACTCAAGACCTCCAGGAACAGACAAAGCCCTCCCTCACAACAGCAGACACTGTGGGCACGTGGGGACCATGTCTGTCTCTGCCTCCAGAGACTGCTCAGGGTGACCTGCTAGCACGAGTTCTCACCTCTGACCTGACTGCTTTGCTGTGCTAAATTCTACGCTATGCAATAAACTCTGACATTGATGGCCATACTTCCTCGTTCGCACTGGAGGACAGGTGCGGGGCTCTGGGGAAAAGGTGGCTGTAGCCCAAGCTCGGCTGTCACCGAGGCCTCATCTGCACAGGTCACAGATAGGATCTTAGAAGAGGTTCACTTCAACCCTGGCTTCTGCCCAGGCAGCATAGCCCACCTTGCCAGGTGTCCCTAGTGTCCCCTGAGCCCTGATCTCAGTGGACTTGATGAGCTACAGAGAAGGTGGCAGTGTGGCCCAGCCAGAGCCCTCCAGGGAAGGTGAGGGAGCAGTGGACCCGCTTGAACATGCCCAGGCAGCGGAGGCTGAGGTCCCTGGGGCTGCCCTGCGGCACACCCAGCAGCCCTCCACGCCAAGTGGCTGCGTAGTAAGTGAAGTGGTACCCTGGACAGGCAGTGGGGCAGGGCAGGAGCTGTGGGGTGGCACCTCCTCACTCCAGCTGGGGTCTCCAATCTGCTCATTCTGTCTGCCTCTACTTTGTTCTGTGCAGTCTTGTCTGCTCTAATCTGGGCTCACTGGCTGGCTGGCTGGCTGGCTTGCTGGCTGGCTTGCTTGCTTGCTTGCTTTTTTGAGAGTTTTGCTATAGGGCACATGCGCTTGCTAGAGAGACAGCAATCAAGAAATTACCCCCCAGGGGGATGGCCATGTTACAATCCCTTCTCCTTCATTCTTCTCTTGGGATTTTGGACACCCATGCACACACACCTGGTTTGAAGCCCTGGGTTGGGGACTTGAAATGCGGTCAGTCATGGGGGAGTCTGGCAACCACTATGCCATCTGCTGGTCCCTCAGTGGCCCATCTTTATGACCCTCCACTCATCAGCAAAACAGACAGGGCTGGACAGCACACACAGTTGGAAGAACAGTCCGGCACACACTGCCATGGCCAGCCGAGCCATGCAGGAAAGTCAGAAAGTGCTGGATTTTGACCACTGCCTCACCCGAGCACATGATCTGGGGGGACCAATGAGAACATGTGACCTGTTGCACGCAGTGCATGGGCTGAATGGAGAGGGCAGTCCCTCCCCCAAAGCTGCGGCAGCAAGCTCCCACCCAGGCCTTGCAGGGCAAGAGCCTAGCTCCTGCGGGGTCGGCCCTCCCAGCATGGGATTTTCAGATGCAGTCAATGGTCAGGAGGCTTCCCTGAGGTCGGGTGCACCCTCCTGTGGGCTCTGACAGTGCTGCTGCCCTGTGCCAGTGGTAACACTACCACTTCGCTAGGCTTGGCACACAGACGCACCACACAAGGGAAGCCTGTGACCTGGAGGTGGTACTGCTAAGGGACCCCTGCCCTGTGCCAGAGAGGGAGCCAGCCCCAAGGCTGCAGAAGGCCCAGAGT